TTTTTTTTTTGTCATGGCTTATTTTCAATGTACAGTAGATAAATGGATAGGCAGTGAATTTGCTAGATTTTATTCGGCACAGAACATGTACCACAAAATGATGTGGCGCCTTTTATGAATAGGGTGTCCCAGATTGGGACAAATCCTTTGTTTTTTGTTGTGAAACTACTGTATATGTTTGTTAAATATCACCTACAATTAAAAGTTGCTTTTAAACGCATCAAATGTCTTTATCACTGCTTTAAATGACGGCCTGCCCCTTTGTGGTCTTGACCTTCTTTACAGTTTTCAGTTATGACAGGCTAAGTTTGTGACCCTGTTACTATATGTATATATATATATATTCATACTAGAAAATAAAAAACACACAAATGTGAGTTTTAAATTGTATTTGGATTCCCAATTTTTAGTATCATCAAAAAATCAATTAGAAAAAAAAATTCACAATCAACTTTTCTGAATGTTAAACACCTTTTACTGACCTTTTGTTGGAAGGAAAATGACTCATTTTGTACCCTACTGATGGAAAATTTCAAATTCACATTTCAAATGTGTATATCAAACCAAAATTCAGTCACTGGTATCTTATATACTATCCATCCCTGATTTATTGTGTCCTTGTATAAATGCATTATTATTGTAACCCATAACATACACAAAAGAATGGACATTTTGAGGTAGTTTTTCCTCAAAAACCGCAATCTGCATGCACAGAAATGGTCATTGTGAAAATACAGACACAAGTCATCAGCAAAAAATTTTATTTGGGCAGTATTTTATGTTTAAGCATAATTTGCAAGTGCTGTGGACACAAAACTCTTAAGTTTCTTTTTTCTTCATCATTGCTTTGATCCAACGTGCATATTTTGAAATATCAGTGAAGATATTTGGTACATCAGGATATTTACACCCCTTTGTGCTGAAGGAGACAATGCCCACTGCCATTGAATTGCACACCAGCGGACCTCCAGAATCACCCTGCAAGAATATATGTGAAGATTGGGTTTAATAGTAGAACAATGGAACGTCCCAAAAAAAAAAATATATATATATATGAAGATGAGACTGGAGTTAGTTGTCACACTTTGTCTCAAAACCTCTTATAGTTTATGCACTTAAGAAATTGTGACAACTTGCTCTCTCCTGTATGTTTATTACCAAGCACACTCCTCCATTCTGTTTATATCCTCCAGCACAGATGATGTTTGGTGGAAGTTTTGCGATGCTTTCTTTGTATTTCTTCCATGCTTCCTTGCAGTTGTGGATGTCAACAGTTGATACATTCAAGGCCAAAAGGTCATTGACTACTTTGCGCTGTTTAGTGGAACCCCATCCAGCAACCAAGCACTGGGTATTGCTTTTAACGCTGTAATGTAGTTGTGGGATTTTCACCGTCTGCACCTTTTCTTCCAAAACTGCTTTCCTAGAAATCTGAAAATGCAAATAGTTAGTTATTAAATGTGCACTTGTTTGGTCTTGTTCTTCTTGTGAAAATTGAATCACAACCCAACAGGTGTTTACCTTTAGAAGCATGATGTCATTACCCATCTTAAAGTTTTTGAATGTTTTTGGTATAAATTTGTGAATCACATCATATCTTTTTAGATTTTTCTGTGGAGAAATATCATGGTCGCCAAGAACAACAGTCATCTCTTCACTGGAATCAAATAAAACAGAGTCAAACTCCCATTTTCCTGAATGCCAATCATCAATCATTATTTACTCATTCCGAAGTCATATGACTTTTTTTTCGGTGGAACAAGAGCTTAGATATTTCATTCAGTGATGAATATGGCTCCAAAAATGAACAATCTACCTTGCACAGTGTGCAGCTGTAAGAACATATTGAGGAGATATCAGAAATCCTCCACATTCATGTGTTTTATTGTTCTGCACTGAGACCATGTATTGCAAGGAATTTTTTGGAGCTTTTTTCCCATTGATTATGTCAACTCCAACCACAACTATTGAGAAAAACAAGACAGAAATAACTATAAACTTTAAAGGCACAATTGCAACTTGTAAAGGTTAAGGATTACTAATGAAAGAAGCTACCTGTGATGTGCAGTGTGGTCACAGCTGTGGCGAACAGGATCGCAGTGAAGCATGTCATTGTGCTTGTGGAATGTTGAAAATGGGTCACTGACTTTTAAACTACTCAAAGTAAAAGGGCAGGCCTCCCTTCAGAGCAAACCACAGCATTTCCTGGATGTTTCTTCAGTTAATTAAATGTACACTCAGGAAAAAAAGGTACAAAAGCTGTGGGGGCGGTACCTTCTCAAAAGGCACACCTTTGTACCTAAAGAGTCTGTATTGGTATACCTTAAAGGTACAAATTAGTATCTAAAGTGTACATATTAGTACCTAAAAGGTACAAAAGTGTACCTTTTGAAAAGATACCACCCCAGTGGCAGCTTTTGTACCTTTTTTCTGAGAGTGTAAAATGTGAAAGTTATTATGTTTAAACATGTTTTCATTGTAATTCACCCAAAAATCGTCCCCATCGTCCATTTGTATAGACAATTTCCACAGAAGGAAAAAGTCACAAGAGTCAGTAAATGATGACATATTTATTTTTGGGTGAATTTTCCATTCATTTCTATAAATGGTACATTTTTAGGTGGATTTTCCTGAAAGGTACACACACTGTGGCTCTGTTTGTCAAAACATTGCTGACTTGCTTTGAAAACCCTGACCAGCTTGGTTCAACCAATGGTGTGAGTTTGGGCAGAGCTGCCTGACCAATGACATATGAGGAGAAGCTGTGGTGAATCTCATGACCTTGCACACGCATCAACATTTCTTTTTAAGATGTCTCTGCAAACTAGACTGTTTCTCACAGGGTCTCTGACCACATGCAATGAGCTCGGCCCCCACAGGAAACCAAGGCTGCCGAGAAAGGACAAAACCATCTTTCCACAGAAAAGTGTTCAAAATCAGTCATAATTTATTCAATAAATTCATAATGAAACGACACATATGATCAACAGATTACATTGTTCAAATAAAATGTTTATTAATCAAGTTCTTGCTTCACACCTTCAAGAATAGCTTTTATCCAACTTAGAAATTTGGAAATCTTGGTGTAGACATTCGGTAGCTTAGGTGAGTTACAGTTGTTTAGCTCGTTGAATGAAACGACACCGACTGCGAGATTATTGCACACCAAGGGTCCTCCAGAATCCCCCTGAGAAAAGTCATGAAAGTTATAGGCCGTTAATGAAGTGAAACTGTCATACTATTTTTGATTTGTCCAGAAGATTCTTAGTACCTGGCAAAATCCACCGCGACCACCTGCACACACCATACGTGAAGTGGAGTAATTTTTTCCCCAGTACTTCTTACATTCTTTTGCATCAATGATGGTGACGTCCACCTCCATAAGCTTAGCACTCGCTGCACCTTTGGTGTTTTTTTTCCCCCATCCTGCAACACTGCATTTGACCTTGGTCTTGATGTCCTTATTTTTCTTTGGTATGGAGATCCAGTTGACGTTCTTGCTCTTATTGACCTTTTCATGTAGCTACAGCAAGAAATTCAATCATTAATGCTGATCATTTTCAAAATGTATACAAATTGGATGACCAACTTTTTTGTATTTTAATATATATATATATATATATTTTTTTTTTTTTTTTTTG